AAGATATAGTCAACTATTGAATACAGACATTGTTAATTTTGTTGATAACTTGCCTCTTGCTGAACGAATGGCAGTATATTTTCAGCAAGATGGAGCTACGCCTCATAATGCTAGAATTAATGTGAAAAGGTTAAACATCGAATTTGGTGTAAGGTGGATCGGGACAAATGGACCAGTTAGGTGGCCTGCACGATCGCCCGACCTAACACCTCTCGATGTTTGGCTATGGGGGTACCTACAATTGTAGATCTTAAGATCTTGTTTATTTCACACGTCCAGAAAACGAGGAAGTTTTAAGACAGCAAATAATCGACGCTTGCCACGAAATACCACCAGACTTTATATTGAATAGCACGAGTGGAATAGCTAGAAGGTTTGGTTATTGTGTCCAACAGAATGGTGGATTGTTTGAGCAATATCTGTAATAAATTAAGGGAAGTCGTTATCTCACTAACGATTGTTGTTAGGTATAGGGAACATTTAAGCTTTTTGAAGGACAATTTATCAAGGAATCCAAAAATAAAAAAATATACGGGGTGTTCCTTTTGAAAACCTGAAATTGACGTCACTTCCGGTGAAACCAAAAGCAGCATTGAATAAAAATTTATCTCAAAAAATAGATGATAAAAAACTGTGTAACTTTGATTAAAAGAGTTTTGTCCTATCTTTAAAAATAAAGGAGTTATGGCTTGGGGCGTTTTTCATAATTCACCCTGTATTATAATTGATTAAATGCAATAAACTACTCATCAACAGCCTGCTCTAAATTGGAGTCGCTAAAAAATGGAAAGCCCATTGGCTATCTGCAGTCGCGTGATTTACAGCAACCAATAAGAACTAAAGTATTCATGCAAGTCTTGCTACTTCGTCGTGAGCAAAAAAGTTTAAATAAACCTCTGCTTTAAATTAAATCACAATTTTTTTGTATTTAAATTATAATTTGTTTAAAATAAATAATTAACTTTTTTAAATTTAATTAAAACCATATTTTAAAATTAAACCATGTTTTTTTTTAAAATAATATTTGTTATTTAATTTAATTTTTTTAATTTTTTAAAATAAGTAAATTTTTTTTATAATTTAAGAAAGTCAACTTTTATTTAAACAGAATAAGTGCAATTTTGAAATAAAAGTTAGGTAATTTGTTTTAAATATATATTTTAATAAATTTGCTTTTTTTGTTTGAATTAAAACATCTTTTTTCCCTGTGGATAAACTTAAATCTAGTTAATATTTGCAAACCATGGTTAAAATTAACAACAATTTTTTTACTGTGTAAGGTAAATTATATATCATACAAAAGCATCCGATTTATGGAGGAACCCGTTTTTTTAAAAGGTTCCTTTATATCTTTCTTAATCTAAAAATGATATTGAAAAACCAAGATTTATCTGATACAGTGACATATTAAGGATGTTACAATACAATCAATTCCTTATAGCTTTCCTTGCATCTTGATAAATCTTATATTATTCCACACCTGATCCTAATAAAAGAAGGAAGCAACCAAAATTAAGTAACATGTCGTTCACTTCCTTGAAAATGGCAAACATGAATGGACCGGAGCAAACTATCCCACGCTTGCTTTGGCCACTGCACTGGCTTTGCTGAATGAAAGAATGAATAGAAGTAAAGAAGAAATAAAAACCCAAATACACAACCACATGAGTTTAACCATCAGCAATAAATCAAAACGATTCAACAGGTAATTATAGAAATCTTAGAACGGTTTTTCTGATGTGTAAAGAAATGTAAATAGAAAAGCGTGTAATGGTGTGAAGAATTTGTACATTTCTTGCACAGTAAAAATATAAACGAGATTTTATGTTAATCCAGGTCTACATAACGTTATGTTTAGTTTACAACCAACTTTAATCTGTTGACTAATTGAATAAGTAGTTTGTAATTATATCAATCATTTTGTAGATTTAATATCAATAATTCAACCATAATTTTCAAAAAGGAACTTAGTTTTACAAAATTTGTGTACACCCATTAACAAAAGTAATTGTTGGAAATTGGAAACATAAATGAATTTTAATACCTACAAAAATGAACACAAAAATAACATACCCACAATTAAATAACACACCATTGTGAAATCATCAAATTATAAATAAACTTGGTACAATATTATTATTAGTACTACAACACTTACTGGTGTATTTCGTAACTTTAACCCACTTCACTGTATTCCCTAATTTTAGTTTGAAAACCAGTGAAGGCATCTTTTTTCGGATACTTCGAACTTCGCACACATTAAATAGGTATAAGGAATCCGAATAATAACAGATTTCTGGTAATATATTATAAACTCTGGTAATATATTATAAACTCTGGACAGTTGTTACGAACACGTTACGAATTAGACTAAAGTAAGCAGAAACATAAGTTGCAGACGCTGAAGTTTTTGTTGGTGCGTATTGTCAGTGGGAAATGTTTTGATTGACTACCTGAAATCACTTGTACTTTTTCAACGAAATAATTTGTTAAACATTAATAAAATAATCTGTAACCTTTGAAATTAACAAAATGCTTACAAAATCGCATATTACCGTTACAAAACTTTCGGTAAAATATTTTCCTTTGTTAAAATAATTACAAACCCTGGTTTTCTACAAAAAATTATATTAAAATTTTACAAAATAAAATTAACAAACTACAAACTCATGTGGTTTATTGTTTTCTTAAACCAAATTCTTTAATAAATTTGCAAAAACTATAGTGTTCAACTCTTGTTAGAACTCTGCCAGTGGCGTAACAAAAACCTTTTTTAGATGTTACACCGAACAACATAGAACAAACCAAGATTAAACAAACATAAACAATAACACAGAAAACAATAAACAGTATAGCTGTCATTGGAATAATAGTAGATCGAACGCCAGTGACTAACGATAAAATGTTTTCACTGAATATTAGAATAATTTTTGATGACATTTTTGCTACTGATTTTTAAAAATCACGACCCTGTTTACTCTTAATAATTCCAATTATTTATTTTATTCGACAGTGGAAGGGACGCTACCCCAAATTTATGCAGCCTCTCCCCTAAAAAGCAGATACGCTATGCATTTCATTTTTCGCACATTATCCCTCACAATAAGGTCACATATGACAAAGTTAACAACTCTATTTTACTATTGCTACTAGTAGCTGATATACCGGCCAATTTTACGTACTTTTTAACCGTGACAAATCTGGTTATGACCGCTTTTCTGATCGTTAAACGGCAGTTGACATGAGAAAGTTTGTTAAAAATTAGTTCTTTGGTTCTTTCCAACTATTATTATTATTATTATTATTTGGGGTATGCACTTTTTGGAAAATAGCCTTAATACAAAGTTTGATACCGCAACGTCATCAGCCATGCATTGTCCATCGTTGTTAAATAGCGTTCCAACTGGGTTGCCTACCTACATTCGAACAAACACGGTAGAGCAGAAATACTGCGTTCTCATTGGCGGCCTTAAAAGCTAAATAACTCCAGCAATGTTGCGTGTTCGAAAAAATGGTAAGGAAAAATGTCTTTGAATTTTAAGAATTTTACCATGGTGGCCGCCAAATTTTGGAATACCCATTATATTTTTTCAATTAAATTTTGAGTTTTTTTGTATTTTGCTTTATTTAAAAGTTATTGCAAAATTATACATAAAAATGTATATTTTATAATTTTCAGGACACTCCGTCAACTTCAATGTTTGTTAGTTGGCCAGCGTTGTCAACATTAACTGCAATATCGAGGTTCACGTGACAACATTGCATGCATAAAGGACGGCGCTTTTGTACACCCCTGACGTATTTTGTAGAGTGGCACAAAAGGACCAGCGGGCCGTGAAATTCGATGAAATGTGACGAGTCGCTCCCGCACACACACACTCACACATACATACTAACACACATGTGACAGCCAATCAACTGAGCTGATTTTTAACGCCACTATCTGTGATTATTAAAGCTGCCCGCGGCCAAACGGTGCCCACTGGATATTTTAGGTGGATAAGTTTTGTTTTGTTTTTATTTTTAAGTTAGTTTTTAGTAAATAAACTAAATATGTATATTTATATTTACTACAAAATTATAACGTCATAACGTTCTAAAATTAGCAGATTTAGAGATCACACGCGGCATTGCCGCGTGTATTCTGGGTTGCCGCGGCGGCAACCAAGAATACACAAACGCGTAGAAATTGCCGCCTGGTTGTACACAATCTTACAATATCGTTTATTATTGCAAAAGTGGGTTGTAAATTTTAACAGAAATGTATATGCAAATTTTAAAGGCATAAGTGCATACGAAAAATATCATTTATAAAATATGTTCATAAAGCATTTGAATTTTCCTCACTTTCTAAAAATGAATTAGTCAAAAATGACTGATTCTCATAGCGAAAAAGCAGCTACTAATAATTCTCGTCAATAGCAATTTGTATCCCGAACATTTAGCAGTCAAAAGATAAAAGTAGAACAGTTTTCCATATGAGATGGAATTGACTAGGTATATCTCAAAAACTGCTCTACTTTAATAATTTTTGATGGTATTTTCGTATCCAGGGGACAATTTTACCTATGAATTGACTGTTAAATGTTGGGGATACTAGGGTATAACTGAAAAAGCAGCCACTAATAACTGTAGTAACTAGTCATTTTTGACTAATTCATTTTTAGGGAGGAAACTGTTTCCATTTGCCTTTTTTAAGGTTTTTATCAGAGTGCGCCCTATTGCGGATTCAGCACCGGACGCGTAGAAGAGCGTCACAACCTGCGATTCGCTTTGTTTTCCCGATTTTTTAAATAAATTACCCAACGAGATTCGAGCACGTAACTTTATTAAACAGATCGCTCCTCTATCCCCTCTCTATTTAAATTTACCCGTGTTAACATGTTAATCAGTCATATCGGCTGCAATCAATGTCTGTACTTTTTTTTCGCCCGTTTATTGTTTCGGATTTTCATCAGCGATCGCTTTTTGTTTGCCAAAGGCAAATGCTACTGTGCTAACTCGTTTACTTTTATTAATAACAAACTGTACAAATATTAAACAAAACATCAACAACATAACATTAACGTTTAATAGAATATAGACTTCCTTTTGATACTCTGTTGGAGTCATCGAAGTAGGAAGCAAAAAAAACTCTAACGTTATTGGTGAACCCAGAATCTGGTCTCACTGGAGATACAGTCACAACGACGTCTTCGCCATAAATAAACCGATTTAATTTCCCGTAGGTGACACCAAGCTGAAGTCTATCGTCGATTTCCGCCAGCCAATCTCCTTGGTATTGTTTGGTATATAGAACTGGATGTACGCTTCTGAAGAGTTGCAGTTGTCTGCAAACTCTTCTGTGCCTGGTTATTGCTACGATTGGGCAGCGTGGTCTAAACATTGATAGTAACTTGGCAGTCCTTCCTGAGGAGGTTGTAAGAATGATTGCGGAAGCGTTACATTTTAAAGATAAATTCACAGTGGACATTACGAGGGAGTAGATTGGCTCCACCAGAGAAAGCTCGTCTGTTAGATCATTGAACAACTGTTTGTGGTATATGGCGGGCTCAGCCTCTTTACATAGTTTGGTGAGGTTTTTAATGCTATTAACAGTCGTTGCTTCGTCTGATAATAGTAAACCATCGATCGCCTCTATAATGGAATTGGCTAGATCACATATTTCACTTTTGCTGAACGATTTATGGTCAACCACTTCAGTGGTGACAATTACAACCTTACCCCTTTTATTTTGGCATTTGGCGACGATGGATTTTTGTGCCAGAAATACTTTCTCGCGTGGAATCTCCAGCATAAGCTGACCGCAATCTAAGCAAATACCGTCTGATTCTTCGAGAATTTCATCGAAATTGTCCAATGCAATAGCGTTGTCGATTTTCGGTATAATCAAAATGTGCTCGGCTTTATTACAATGCAACAGCTTTTTCGTGTTCGTCACATTTCTTTTGGTTTGAACTTTGGATAAAATAACGACATCTATATTGTTTTTTGAGGCGAATTTGATCATTTGTTCACCCTCTACGGTGAACTCGTTCATTTCTTGGTCAGGTACATTTGTGGGTTCTTCTAAAAATATATCTGCAGCGTCTTGGACTATACAATCAACCACGCTTTCTACTATTTTGATGGTTGAATATGGCACCAATCTATCATCGAATTTCACCTGATATTCCGGTTCTACAGAACTGGCCAACTTCTCGTCGGTTGTACGGTTGGAAACGATTGAATATTTTTTATGATTTCCAGGATCATTTTTCAGTATGGTAGTACACATTTTCTCTATTAGTGCATCTCTTTTGAACTCCTCTCTTTTGGTACCGATGTGGATTTTTGGGCAGGGTATATCCATCATCACAACTAGCGGATTAACACGTCCAATTTTTTTGCTGTAATTTTCATTCACAACCTTCACTTTGGACACCATCTCTTCAGCCAACCTCTTCTCTTTCCAAGTTTCAAACTTCTCAAACACCATTCTCACACCGGACAAACCGCTTTGGCACAGGGACTCTATCGTATTACACTGTGCTACGTTGGTTATGGTGGCCAATATTTTGGTGGCCTTAAACTTCGAGGGTTTGGCTTGGCAGTCCAGTAGCGCTAAATGTTGTAGGGCTTTAGGTGCGAATGCCGCTGCAAGTTGGTTTTTATGCTTGCTTGGGTCTGTGGCGTGAAAATCCACCATCCATGGCAACTGCGGGCAAACGTCGTAGTTGTTGTACATTTTTAAATTAACTGATAATTTTGATGAGGGCCTAAAAGTTTACTAGAAATTTTGAAGGTGTCAATATGACATAATATTTATTAATGCCAAATCTGCATGGGTGCACGTCATTAACGACATATGACGTCAGCGTTAAGGTCTATTCACACGTGCCCAGGCACAATCTAACGCTCTTGTATTTTTGACTGTTTATAGCGGTTGTGGCTGTTTATTAAGATGGAATTATAACATCATTGTTATAATCTTCTACACAGAAAAAACGCTTTGATATAGTCAATAACAATGCTATATGGGCGAATTTTCGTTAAATGTACATTTAGTATATTTATTTTGTCCAGGCAGGTCAATTTGATCGATTTTTTTCCTTTGTGTTAGAACAGTGTAATAGACTGCAAAAAATTCTATAAGTTTATAAATAACAAAAATAAACTTTAAAGAAATAAAACTTATAGGGTTAATCTGAAATAGGGAAGGAACACAAGGAAGAAATGAAACATTGTCCTTCTTCTGCTTTTGACTTTTTTAAACGTTATTTTTCAGAAATACTGTTAAATGTAAATATCTTTCGGCATTTGTTTGGCATTTCTACTATGCTATAATACAAAATGAAAATAAAAAAGTTAACTTCTAAAACAAGAGTTGTATGTAGCGTTTTGTAAAAGACACCAAAAAGTGTACGCAAAAAAATCTTACCTTTAAAATATTTACAACAAAATTCACACACTTTACACGTGCTCACTTGTTGTTGCCGAACTATCAAACTGGATACCCTCTAGAAATAAAACTCTAGTATCTCTATCTCGTGTCTCTATTTCGAAGCAGTCGGCATAGAAGACGACGTTAGGAAAAATACAAGATTTTTGAATGTCAACTTTAATATTTTTTTCTGTTTAAATTACTTTGTAGAAAACTATTTTAGTTTTATATACGAATAAAAGAACTCCATTGTTCAAAAATAATTTATTTTTTCAGAAGAAAGCTGCAAAGAAGAAAATAATAATTTAAATAAAAAAATCGCCTCTGGGGACAGTTAGGTTTCAGTACATTTCACCTAGTTTTTCTGTCATATATACATATAATATAACAGGAAGGGGGTATTTAAAAATAATAAATACAAAACTTATCAACAAAGGTCAAAAATAAAAATAAAATTAGCTGGGGACAGCAAATGTACATTTAACGAAAATTTGCCCATAATTGATTGTTTTTTCATTTCTCCAATAAAAGTTAAAGTTTATTCAATCAAATATGTTTAGCGCAATTGAGGGTAAGGGATGAAAATATTAGAAATGATTGAATTCAAAGTAGGTATATCTGATTAAGGTAAAATTAACAATATTTAATTAAATATAAAATTGATTTATACTAAAAGTTATAATGCTTCAACCAAAAATTAAAAACAAATGAAATAAGAATAGTCTTTGTTTCTTTTAGGGTTTATGATTTTTATTTTTATTCCAATGGAAACTAAGGTAAAGTAAGTTATAACTGTCTTACAGTGAATATCAATGTTTTCACTGTCTTGAAAAATACTTGTTATTTGCCCAATTTTCTTCAAAGCGGCTATATTTAATTTGATGATTGCTAAAATTCCGACAAACGCGCCAGGGCATCCCTTGCCACACCACACATCGGCAACCTGCAATCGCGTACGTGCGTATAGTTAAATGTGATGAACTGATTAATCGGTATTTCTGGTGACGCCGATTGAAGTGATTTTGCTTGAATGGACGAAGTTTTTATTTATTTATAAAAAAACTTCTCATAATCTTTCAGTACCATCATGATATCCTTGCAGGGCGTCCTGAAAGTACATATTGCTTTAGGACTTTCAGCAATCTTTAGGATTCGCCTCTAAATACTTAAGATGAAATTCCTATTCCGTTTTAGAATAACCATGTGCCATGGCAGACATATCCTGCACATCCAGTACAGTAACTGTTGCTAGTGATGGGTCAGCAAATTTCTTAGAGCCTAATATCACCAAAACTTCTAGTGGGTTCATAATAGTTCCTACAGAAAACAGAACAATTTCATTTTATGGATCGAAAAACCTGTGTACACAAGACCACCAGAAGCAGTTTCCAGAATTCATTTTATTTAAAGTTCATATTATACAACTAATATTTGCACAAGAATATACATATTTAAAAGAATTAGAGCTTTAAATGCATTTAATGTAGCCATTCATTAGAAATCATAACTTTAATTGATGCCAATAATAGTATTTCATTAAGATTCATTGTGGCTTTAATTAAATAACAAATTAATTCAATAATTTCTTATGTTTTAACTAATTTTAAGCAGGTTTGCACAAATAAATGTAAGACAATTATTTATCTGATCATAGCAGTAATTCAGTTATTGCAAATACAGTACACCATTGGCTCAATGTTTATCCCATTCACAATATGAAAGCTTTTTCTCTGTATACACTAACTAATTAGGAGTTTGTTATGGGCAAATTTTGATTAAATGTGTTTGGAGATAAAACAAACAGAGTTTGTTACATTTTTATTACATATGTACATAACAAAAAAATACTAAATTACCAGAAACACAAAATCACTAACCTACCAGTCGTCTTTGTCGTCAGAGCAAACCAGGTCAGACTTGTAGTCTGATTATTTTCCCAAATTTATTATTAAGGGCGCAATGTCTTCGCACTCTGATAACTGTTGGCGTTGCCAACAAGCCTTGTAACATTGTTTCCTCAATCCAGTGGTAGAATATGATAAACAAAATGTATAAAATTATTTATATTAATCTGCAACAAACGATGCTGACGGACGAAATGTAAAAATTACAAAAAAAAACGTCAAAAATAAAATGACGCTGACCCATCAATAATATTGAACGGCGCGCGTAGCCTTAAGCTATTAGCAACTGGCACACACAAAATTTACTAAGTGAATGGTTTTATTTTTATAATTTCTTAAAAAACGTTTTAAAACAAAGAAATTGTTACAGTTCTTGGTAAACAATACGCAAATAATTGATATTTTTTTAAAACACATCAGAATTACGTGCATCCATACCGATTTGGCGGCGACTATAGTGTTAATCAAGATTGATGCCTAGATCTAGGGATCTAGGGATTGATACCTAGACAAAAGATCTATAGATTGATGCCGAAAAATGAGAATTAAAAAAAATGTAGGCATAATAATAATAATGTTAAATCAATAAAGATTATTTATTCAAATCCTGCTTAACAGGTTGTAAGAACGCATCAAAGCAAACAGTGCTAGCAGTAGCACGGTCCTTATTAGTAATTCAGATCGGGAGGAAACGAGAGAAACAAGCAGCAGGCAGATCGGAGGGGTCCTGCTGCGTTGCATTATCAGCAGCACAGGGCCACGTCGCAGGATATTAGAGGGTGCGATATGATTGAGAGGGTGTACGTCACCCCTGGAACTATGATCTACCCCTTGGTAAAGAGCGGTGCATGCGTTGGGGTCTCGCGGGTCAACCGACCAAATCCGGCGGTGGCAAGCTGACGCAAAGACTCGCCGAGATCCAGCGGCGGAGCCGGAGTTTGGCTCACCAATGGTCAAAATGTCTAGCGTGAAGTCTAAACGACAAATTTAGACAAGCAATACGAGAAAGACAAGTTTAAGAAGGTTCAGGCGCGATATATGCAATGAGAAAACGTTAAAAATTTTAGGTTGTAGTAGAGTCTACTTAAAAAACATTCACAGAGTTTTAGAAAGACCGTCTGACCGTCTGACATTGACATTATTAAAATTGCTAAAAGACTACATGGGCTGTTATCGATGATTATTGTTAAATAGTGTTGTAAATGTTAACAAAAAAATTATATGCCACTTCTATGAAAAGTATGAAATATAGATGACCTAGTAGGGACAAAATTGGATTCCTGTAGTTTTGGACAATATCGCAAGCTTTGACCTTTTAGCGAGGTATTTTGTGATTTGTACAAGATTGGAAAATCTACGTGTGGACGCGCATGGACGTTAAAATGGAACATTGAAACCGAAACCATTAAGGCTTTTGGTCACCAAGGAAAAAGAAGAAGTAAACGATAATGTTGTCTGTACACGTGTTCAACCAAAATGATCAATCTGTGATTCTCGTTTAGAAGATCCGGCAATACTGGATTACGAACACGTGATTATCTAGGGATATTTGGTTTGATTTATTTGGTGACTACCAAAATTAGGTTTTTAAAGTAAATTATTAAGAAAAAACAAAATTGTATTATTATAAATTAAGTATTATTATTTATTACCTTTAAAACGCCCATTATTGTACATGTTTCCATGACACTAAGTGAAAATACACATTGCCAAATTGTGGCTTTATGGCGTTTTAGTCACGGGCTGAAGTGAGTTTTAAGTTAGATGACAGTTGTCAAATGTACAATCGTTAAAATAATGTGCCCTTTTTGTAAAATAATACAAAATGTAAAAATTATTTTAATATCTCAATACAAAAATAAAAAAGTATTAAATAGTTTCTCAACGCCAATATTTGAAAAGTTCATATGAACATTTTACTGAACTTTTAATTTCGCCGGCAGTAAACTAGATTTAACTTATTTCGTGCCCATAAAACATTTTCTTTAATTTTACTGAAAACCTGCTTCTATTCCATTTTCAAGGGATAGATTTCGATTTACACATACAAATTTTACATTTTCACCGGCGCGCCGATTCCCAAGTTGGTTACTCTATTGTTTTATAGATGTCGCTGTATACAAATATTTAATTGAAATTATTAATTATTATTAAATATTTGTCTTAGACATTTCTAGACACTCATTAAATTAAATTAAATTCGTGTCTAAAATGACGTTTACCAAACTTGATACATAATATACTATTATTAAAAATTTTTTTTTTTTAATAATTAGACTATCCTATGAATTAATTTTCTTTGTTTTCTGCTCTTCTCTTTAGACTTTCGCTGCAGTCAGCACACTGCCTGTTTTCTGTTGCTTTATGTTTTGTTCCAATACCTTTTTTAAATAATTGTTTTTTTTTGTAGTGGAACTAATTTGTTTTCACAACTCATTTTTAGATTTAACAGTGCATATAGAACTGTCGCGTTTAAATCCTATTTTTTACGTTTTTTATTCACGTTCTTGTGTTATAGTGCCTTCTGTATTAAAATAAAAAATAATTTCTGCCCGCCCCTTATTAACATATCATTCTCATTAAAAATCTTTGTTCTGGTTACGCCACTGGCTTGCTTCTTTCCTTCCCGTGATCGCATTTAAGGGTTGTAAGTGAAAAATCTAAGCGAATATTAATCCGGGCCTTCCGATCGAATCTGCGTCGACACCGAAAACATACATACATCATCTTGACAAGCCTCCCCCGAGACCCAAGCGAGTGTAACATATTGAAAAACAATGTTGCGAGTTTTGAAAGTATAAAGGGTGCTATTGACAGCTTAGTAATATAATTAAAAGACATTTTTAATCACCAATTATGTGAAAAAGGACAACTTTGGTGATATGATAAACAAAATATTAGAAATATTCCCCAACACCAAAACAAAACACAAAGTGCTTAAAGTACTTTTCGCCAACGATATTGGCATCTTCAGAAGCAGAACTGCTAAATCTATAATATTTATAATAATTATAAACTAAGGTTGACTGAACCGTGAACGGACACAGTTTACTAAACCGTGGACCGTAAACTTTTCAGTGAACACGTAAAGAGAAACTAACAAACTAATTTATACAAACTGGAGTTGGGTACCGGTCTGATATCGCTATTTAAAGATTTATTTTACCCAATAAGTGTTCCAAATAAAAAACTGAAGTTTACCCGTTTATAGCCATATTAAATTACAACTTAAAAATGCAAAATCATGCAATAACGACATCTCCCTAAAACCCATCAATAATTCCCTCAATGATATCGTATATCGGCAGCAAACTCTGTTTAACGGTGGCAATGATTTGGCTACATAATGCCTAATTCTCGTTGGGAGAAGCATGAGTCAGTCGGTCCGATTGTATTGAACATCTCACCCCTCTCGACTGATGGATTTGTGTGTGTGTGTTGTGTTGTAGGAATCGTGAGAGAGAGCGGGCTTGAAGAAGGGCGCGTGGACGTTTTGGGCCCGGGGGCACGCCGCAACGTTCCCACTGAACCGACCGCCGAGCCCAACGGGTCCCCCCACGTTTCCACACCACTGTCGGTCGGTCGGCTTCGACTCTTCAAATAGTACACTATAGAAAAGGGCCTCTTCCCCACTTTGCGTTTCTCGGGGGTTAATGCACAAGATTTCAATTTTTAACCGGATAATTTTTTTTTAGTCGAAAATATTTGACATAAAAATTTGTCGAGAATTAAATCCCTTAGTTCGAGAGAAATTTTTTAATGACAAAGAGGTTTGGATAAATTTTAAAAATATTATTAGGTTAATAATTGATCTCGAGATAAATACATTAAAAAATAACTAGGATAAAATTTAGAAAAAACCATTTTTACAAACTAAATTTATTGAAGTATTTACTAACATAAATAAGAAACAAATTCACATATTTATTATTGTATTAACATGAAAAACCCAATTGTTATAAATAGTTCTGGTTTTCTTGGATTCTGAAATTTGATTATTAGCAGTGTTTCCAGAAATTTCATTTGTGCTAGTAGAATCTCGAAGTAAGGATTTATAGATTTTGCATTAACATGCCGTTAAAGCGTTCAGTAGAAACTCCAGATTTGGCTAAAGTCGAAACAGTACTGCACCAGTTTGAGTGATATGTAATTTTATTGTTTTTAACATCCAATCCAATGTTTTTGGCTGTTTCTTTAGTCCATTTACCAAGTGTATTTCTTCGTACAGGAACATTTCTATACCATCCGCTGGAGTTGGTTTTATTCCATGTAGGATTTGGCGTCAAAAATAATCTGACCCTTGCAAGGCCTTGTTTTGATTTTTGAACGTTATTATTAATTTGGAAAATAAACGAACCGGACACCTAAAAGGATCCTCTAAATTAGGGGTAAGCCACTTACTATCGCTAAGGTTTTTTTCACCTCCCTGTCTGGTCTTTCAAAAAATAGTATTATATACTGAACTATTCGTTAAAATTTCATTTAAATTTTTTTCGAATTTAAAATAATCTGGTGTACTTTTGACTGCTTCTCCACCTGTCCAAGCAAGTTACATGGTAAAATTTCTTTTGCAACCCTTCAGGCGTGTCCTTGTCCCAAACCTGCATCATTTTTTCCCCATTTTCTTTGTAAAGGGCTAGTGAGCTTTGTTTTCGCTTTTTCAGAATAGCTTGTAATCTCTTTCTATTTGCATTTTTTGCTTCCCTTGCCTGTTTTAAATAGGTAAATGGATCCAATTTTTTTCCGTATTCTTCAAAATATTTTTGTTGCAGTTTTTTTGATGTAACGTTTCGTTTTCACAGCGGTTTCTTTATAGTCATCTCAGTTAGATGTTTTCATATTAAATCCCCAATCAGTTAATATATTTGCAAGGTCAGTTTTCGTTACAATACCCCTTTTCAGTGGCGGATTTAAGAAAAAAGGCCCAGGCCGCAAAGTTTTAAAGATAACTTAAATTTATGGTTAAAGAAATTATAACATTTCTTGAGCCTTTCTGTTAAATCCGCCACTTCCCCTTTTCCTTACAAAACGCCATAAATTGGATCCATATGGATTTTTTTGTAATTTTTGTGCAACAGGGCTTTCATCGTAAGTAATATCATAAGGCCATCTAACTTTTCCGAAAAAAAATCGTAAGAACACGTTGCTAAGTAATATTTTAACAAGAGTCGAAGGCGAGGATTTATGCACCTGCACGGATGCATTTTGTTAAAAAATATTACTTGGCATTGTGTTTATTCGATTTTTTTCACAGGAAAAATTAGATGCCCGAATGGTATTTGACAAGACTATTTCATAAGTAACAGTTATTCTGCATACACATAGCTTACAAAACAAACTACATATTATACATAATAAATATGTAGGTATTAATTTAAAAACTGAAAAAGGGTAATTTATTTAATCACAAAATACAAATACAAACTTAATTATTTATCTTACAATTAAAATATAAATTCCAATTTTGGTGACAACAGCTGTCAAGTTTTGCCACGGGTAAACTCGAAAAAAATGCTGACAGGTGCAGTCATAGTTTTTCCACCTAGAAACCATTTGTAATTCAAAATTGCGCGTTTGTGATTGGTGGAAATTAAGACGAGGGAAATAGTCACCTAAATAGTAGTTTTATCGTAAGTAATATCATAAGGGCATTTAATTTTTCCGAAAAGAATCGAAAAAACACGTTGCTAAGTAATATTTTAACAAAAAGCATGAGTGCTGGTGGCAACAAAAATCCGAGTCGAAGAGGAGGATTTTTGCACCTGCACGAATGCATTTTGTTAAAAAATATTACTTAGCATTGTGTTTTTTCGATTTTTTTCACAGGAAAAATTAGATGCCCGAATGGTATTTGACAAGACTATTTCATGAGTAACAGTTAACAATTAAAATATAAATTGCAATTTTTGGTGACAACAGCTGTCAAGTTTTGCCGCGGGTAAACTCGAATAAACTGCTGACAGGTGCTGTCACACAGTTTTTTCACCTAGAAACCATTTGTAATTCAAAAATGCGCGTTTGTGATTGGTGGATATTAAGACGAGGGAAATAGTCGCTGCAAAACTGAAAACAACACTCGTTTTTTGAAATCTGATTGGTCCATGAAGTAATGAGTGGATTAGTCGATTTTATCCACCCACATGGATTTTTATAACTTATAAAAGTTATTTACGTGTCAATCTTTGTAAATGAATCTTTACGGACGAGCTGGACGTCTAGTCAGCCTAGTAAAGATAAATTGAAAAGCATGACACATACAAACTTTTATTTTTACTTTGATATTGATATTGATGTTTAAATTTTAAATTTCAATTCATGTGTCAAATGTGTCATTTTATTTTATAATTTGCTTTTCTACAAGCTTAAAACTTTACAGGTCTTTTATACAAGCCCGTAAAATATTACAGGTCTGTTCCCATAATGTATCGTTTACTTGGATACAAAAACAACAAAATTAACCTAAAAATGTCATTTACTAAGAAGGTGGAAATAAAGAATCTTAACGGTCGAAATTTTTGAAATCCGACGTTTTGATTGGTTAACATATTAAGAGTGTATTTATCTTTTTAGAAATTTGATTTGTCATCTTGTTTATGTTAATTAAATTTGTAAACATTGGACAATACATTTTAAACTTTTAAACTGACAAAAAACCCCACGCTTTTGAAGTTGCATAAAAAACGATTCTGATAATCCAAAAACTACACCCCATAGCGGTCAACCGATCGAAAAGAGCTCTGCGATGACAAAAGACGACAGTTTATCTTAGTAGGTTCGATGGACAATGGGCCAATGAAAGCGACAGAGGTGCGAGGCCTACTTCGCAAATATTTGGGAATGTGTGGACAGCCATTGAGACCTTGATTAATGATCAACGTCTTCATTCTTATTATACAATATTTGGACTTTTATATTTATGAATTCTTATGCTTTTTACGCTTTGTAGACGCCTACTATGCTCTTCTTTTGTCGATTTATTCATGAATGAAGATTTTTCCTAACAAATGCGTTAAGATTTTTAATGTGTTTTATTCCGAGAAATAAAACGCTTAGCAGTTTTCAATATAATATGTATTATAAAACACTAGGCTACTTTTAACATTTGTATAAGATTGAGAGTGGAATTAGTAAATCTTAACAAACTATTAAATACAGCGAACGGTTTTGTTTGCGATGTGACTAACAAATATTCATTACCTTTGAAATTTTCGCTTAACGTAGCCTTCTTAACAACATCTAAAGTATAATTGTCGTAATATGTATGTTTTAAATGTTTGTCAATGATACCAAGTGCACCATTTATCACTATGGAGGAATCTGTAGCAATTTGTGAGAAGTACCCAGTACACGAACACCATTCATCCGGTATGCCAGCATCTTGACAATGCCTTGATGTTGATATATGTTTCAGAAGAGATGTACAACTTGGTGCTCCTTGACATGAAGTTTCCGTGTAGTTTTTGCCTGATAACACCAGTAAATGTTGCAGGGTTTGGTACACATCAAAGGTAGTAGTAAGTTTGTGTTGGTTCTTCTCCAAATTTGCTGTTTCTTCTGGGTATTTCTGCTTAAACCATTTCGGTAGCGATATCAAATTCATTGGGAGTCTCTCCTCAAACCACCCTGTAGTAGTTTGCCTTACTTCGCCAAATCTTATACCGTGATCGCTAAGAAATATCACAATACTGTCATCAAACACACCATTCAGTTTTAAATCCTGGAAGAACTCCAATAGTTTTTCATCCATTCTTGTTGGAGAATTGATGTGGTTATGGCTAAAAGTGTTCATCCAGAATATTCCAAATTTTGGCACATTTAAGTAAGTTTTAGAAAAATCATTTGCTAAATTCAACACCCTCTCCCCTGCTGATTCAGGTCCTGCACAAAACGGCATGTAATCCTGCATCCTCGTGCCTAAATATTCACTAGCTTCGAAGTATGGTTTGAAGTAATAATCTGTGGGTGGATTCGAGAAACCCCTCTTAAAATAATTGTATGTACTTATACTAGTATGATCTTCAGCATATGCTGTGACATAACCCAGATTTTTATAGTCGTACCATATCATAGGGCAAACATCCAGCATTCCAATCTTGTCAGGTTGGCAAATTTCACGGGATTGTTTCAGATTAAACCCTGTTAATAGAGCGTTGAAGTTCGGGAATGTGTTGTCATCAATTTTATTGTAACCTTTCATTTCGTAGAAGCCACTCTGTAAAAGGTACTTGTGCGTTTTCGGCATGGTTCTGATCAAATTCAAACGCGACACGCTGTCTATCACTACGAAGAGTACACTTATGGGTTTAATGTTTTTATTTTCAACCTTCGTTTTTTCGTATAATGGCTTCTTGATGAACATAGGGTTGTGGACGTTACTGTATATCAATGAATAGTTCATGAAACAATTTACGAAAGCTGTATCTTGAGAGAGGATAGCTTCCTTTACAAACCAATGACAACCTGATAAGCTAAAACAATTTAAATGCATTTGAAGGTTTAGTGTTTTTTATATTTTACCTTATTCCCACATCGGGATAACGTTCACTCCCATCTCTGTTCACATATCTGATGCAACACTGTACATCTCCATCGCCGTCATAGTACTCATTTTTAGCACTTTCATTAACTTTTAATTTTGCTACATTGCCTTCACCGTTTATTATTGTATACGTTAAAAGAGTTTTATTTGTGCAAGGTATGTAGTCATCTTTTTGGTAGATGTTTTTAACTTCATAGCTGAAGACATCGAAGTTTGGAATCTTGCATTTGCTGCCTGGATGTAGTAAATATGCTGAAAACAGAATTATGTATATATTTTTTTGCTACTAAACAATTCTGGTGTGTGAATATGCTCCTTTTGGGATGATAGTTTTGGGTATTATTAAATTAAAAAGTTCGTAATTTAAAAAATTTTATTTTCAAAAAAATATTTTTATCTTTATGAAAAATGCTTTCAATGAATACATTAACCAATTAAATGTTTGAATTGCCAAGTTGGTTGCTTGACAGTAAGCATGCCTATCCCAAAAATTCTCTGAGAACGTTTTGGATGACTTTCGCACTAATAAAGCGGCATCTTTACATTTGTTTTTCAAGTCTTCTAAATTTTGTGGGCTGTTGATGTAGACCTTTGATTTAAGGTAGTTCCATAAGATATAATCGAGAGGGGTAAGATCTGTAAATCTCGCTGGCCACTCTATCGGTCCTCGTCTGCCAATCCACCTCTCATGAAAACATGTGGATTATTTTTACATAAATTCATCAAAGTTTCACAAAATTGTAGTCTGAATTATCTTCGTTAAGTTCCTGCACTAGTCTAATTTTGTATGGATGGTACTTTTCTTTTTTCATAAGACGAGCTGGATACCAGTAGCACAAAATATTGGTCCTATATGGGGCACGTCTATGCCCAATATTTTATCTGGAGCCAATATTGGATTTATTTAGCCGATGTTAGCCCTATATTCGCATACAATGATAATTTAATATATCATTGCCAACGGTTTTGAGTTGGGGGGTGGCCCAACCGACTACCATCCTTATTGTTTAGCACCAAATGGGTGAAAATAATAAAGGCCATTCTTGCATATTACCGTAAGAATAACAAGGGTAATATGCGATTTCTTGTCTTATTAGCAATAAAATTCGTTATTACGTTAATAAAGCTCAAGCTGATAATTTTAGCACACGATACAAACGACTTTAGCATTTTATCGTAATTAAGAATAACATAGACGGTACACGACTTGGAGGGTACATTTTATATCAAGTAGCCCCCTCTCCCCCTTATCATTTAAGTGGGCATTGTCACCCCCCCCCCGCTTCTACGCCCCTGAGTACCTACTATAAACATTTCCTGAAAACATTTGTCGACGCGATCGTGATATATCACTTTTAGAAATCCTACCTCGTAGTAAGTACTAGGTGGCTATCATTTTTTTCTTTCAATTTCTCCCTCAACTTTCCTACAATATAATGTAAAACAACTTCGGGCCAATGTTGGGTTTCAATATTGGTCCATGCTATAAAACATTGGCCCAATATTTACGAATATTGGACCAATATCTTTGTGCTTGGGGTTTACATTAAATAAATTGAAAACTTCTTGTTGTGTTCCAGTTTTATTGACACATCCTATGAGAATTAAAAGTTTTATATTTAAATATTTCGAGAAATATTTGGAGAACGCTAAAGAGACATCTACTTCACTGAACGCTCAAATAAAAGGTTTTACATCCAGTAGTGAATATTTATTTTAAATTATATGCTAACAAAGAAATATAAAATAAAAACTTTCATATATCGACACTTGCTATTTGTAGAATACCAAAAAACAATAATAAACTGAAAAAGTTTGACCTTGAAATGAAATATTTTGAGAAAGTTTACTTCTATTAACACTTTTTAATTTTATCAAAACCCCATTACAAAGTCTTTTAGTAAAAACTATAAAAATCAAAACACTAAACACTATAAATTTATCACTTTTAATATTTAATATCTCCGAAACTATCAGCCCAAAAGGTATAAAATCTATTCAAATCTCCAAAAAAAGGGGTACAATTAAAAAAAAATTAATTTGTTCCATACTTTTGCCGGTCACTTTATATGTTAAAAGAACACATGAAAGTATAATAGCTTACATTATTACACATTTTTAAATTAGTAAAGGAAATAATAATATTTTTCAAGTATATATGTTAAAAGACCACATGAAAGTATAATATGATGAATTTACAAGCTTGTTACTTACTATTTTTACTAAAAACATCACTAAATTTATATACGGAAATTATTATTAATATATTAATAAAACTGGCTTGCACAGTCATGATTTTATTTAATTTGAATGCATACTTTATGGAAATTATATGTATTATCTATCAGTGAAGACCTATGACCAACATTATCATATCAATGAATTGGTGCAACAAAATAAATTATATTAAAATATTTTTTTAACCTTTAGTTTTAAGCCAATAAAGTAGATAAATGTACCCTCTAAAAATTCAGTTGATTTCATAGTAAGACATCTTGTCAAGTTCTTCTATATTTACTTTCAAAAGGTAGTGAAAATTACTCAAATTCCCAATGACCCAATAAAACTGTGGGAACAAAAGACGAGCGTTTGTGCCATGTTTGTTACAATTTTCGAGGGTAAACATTTACGATATCGGTCCATTCTTCTCGTACAAAATATTTTACTACTGTAATTCGTCAAGCGTTTAGAATAGAGAAACAATTATTATGACTTACTTTATATTTATTTTGGCTTTTAGTCTTTTGAGATATTTTTATGGCGGACGTCTTTTTTACACTTGTCGCGTGTAATTCGATTTTTGGGTCGTAAATTTCGTTCGAAGTAGGTCAAAATATTTTGAGCATATCCAATCAAGTAATTGTGTGACCATTGTACAGGATAATATTCAACAATTCGTTGATTTCGATATTCTTGATCAGCTCTGTCGATTAGCAACGTAGCTGCATGAGGACACAACAACAGAACACGAAACAGGATTTTTGAGCGTCATTGTTCGACCCCTTTCGATTATATTAAAAGTTTTAGTTGGCGGTGATGGTGGGCCCAAAGCCCCAGTGATTATTCTCCCCCAACATCCTGTTGTCCGAATCCGATGATGTAAATTTTCATGTTGATTTCCCTTTTTTCTTTCTTTGCCATGTCTCTGATTACAGTGGCGGCTGGTGGATTTTGGGCACACCCATATCTCAGTTATTAGACATGGGACCCACATCAAATTTATATGAGTTTATAATGACACTATATAGACAAGTTCTGAGCAAGCAGAATTTAAATTGAAGTTTGCGAAAAAAAGTTCGTTTTTAATTCAAATTCAAGTGGTACAATATTTAATTCACTGAAATTATCGACAAATTTCAAATTTTATTAAAAAATTATTAAAAAGTATTACAGATTTTATACCATTTCTATTTTTTTTAAATTTAGTAAAAGAAATAATAAACATTTAAAATGATATAAAACCTGTAATTCTTGAATTTTTTTAATAAAATTTGAAATTTGTCGATAAACTTCAGTGAATTAAATATTGTACCACTTTAATTTGAATTATCTTAATTTGGGGAGGCACACTTAAAAACTTACTTTTTTCGCGAACTTTAATTTAAATTCTGCTTTCGCAGAACTTGTCTATATAATGTCATTATAAACTCATATAAATTTGATGTGGGTCCCATGTCTAATAACTGAGATATGGGTGTGCCCAAAATCCACCATCAGACTGATTATAGCTCCAGTACAGAGTTGCAAAAATGTTAATGTAAAAAATAATGCAATCGTCATTTTTTTTATGGTAATGTAGTTTGAATACATTACAATAAAAAAATTGTAATGAGAAATATTTTCATTACGCATTAAAAAATTAATTAGTAATGTCGAACAATACATTACTCATTAAAAAATAAAAAAATGGGTAATAAGAGACCGTACATTAAAAAAAATGTGTAACGAAAGACATTACCCATTACATCAGGGTTAGGGTTGATGGGGTGATTTTTTATATGGGGCATTTTACACCAAGTCTGAAAATTTTGAAAAAAGTTGAATTTCGATTTCTTTTATTTTTCGTTATTTTTAAGTAGGTACATATTAAAAATCCCTTTCTGGTAAAGTTTGATATTTTTTTGATTAAGTACTCGTTCACAAGATATCAAATTTTCAAAACAATCGCGTTTTTTGTTTTTTTCTGCTAATATCTTTAATAATGATCTGAATTGAAATTTTTATTTCTTAAAATTTTCGTTTATCAAAATTATCCAACTGTTTGTATACTTCGATATCCTTGCAATTTTTTTAGGTTAAACTTTTACCCACTCAAGAAATTTTAAGCCAGGGTTGATAGTGGGATTATGATAATTAGGTAAGAAGGCGACCTAAACTCAAAAAAGTATTGAATCCGCGAGTGTATAAACGAATAATTAATTTTGAACGTCTGTTACTGGTAAAAACCAGAGCTGGGCACGAGTACTAAAAAAAGTATTCGTAAAATTTTAAGTCCGAGTAGTTAAAATATTTACTCGTAAGTACATTTGTAAAGAGAGGTTACGGTTACGAGTAATAATAATAATAATAATAATAATAATAATAATAATAATAATAATAATAATAATAATAATAATAATAATAATAATAATAATAATAATAATAATAATAATAATAATAATAATAATAATAATAATAAACTTTATTGTAAAACTAAAAAGGTACATTTTACAAATGGTGTGAGTTCCGCAGCATGCTGTTCTTCCACTCAAACCCGGATACATTAAAAATAGAGATATATGTATATATAAAACAAATTATTTATAAATTGTGATGGTTTAACAAAAAACATTTAAGAGATTGCTTAAAAGTTACAATATTGTTATTTAAATTAAATATTTCAAAAAATCTATTTACCATTGTTGGTGCCAAATATTCAAAACAACATTCATATTTAGAAGTTTTGTGTATTTGAATAGAATAATGGTTTTTATTTCTAGTATTTAAGTTGTGGTAATAAGAAAGTCTTCTTAACAATATGTATAGGTAATGTGAATTTTTATATTTTAAAACATTAAAGACAAGACTAGCATATTGTAACAAAAACATAGAATTGCATTTGAGAATTTGTTTAGTAACATAAACATGTTCACGATAATTAACATTAAAAGAATATCTTAAACAAGAATTTTGAAGTTTTTGAAGTCGTTCTTGATAATATAAACCACTGTAAAAATAGTAAACTGAAGAACAGTAATTTATAGGACTTAAAATAAGGGGTTTTTGACAAGTTCCATTTAACATTATTATTTAAAAGATATTTAAAACTATATCTTGACTTGAGTTTAATGTGCATTTTTTATAAGTTGACAAATATGTTTATCAAATAAAAGGTTTTTATCCATTAAAACTCCTACATTTTTTACATAGTCTTCAAATTTTATCACAGACTCATTTAACATAATATCACAGGTTTTATAACTTAGTGCTTTAGATTGCAGAATATTCATACCGATGCATATAGCCACTGACTTTATAGGATTTAAAAATAAGCCATTACACTTAGACCACTCACTAACACTAGTAGTAATCGTGAAAACACGAGTAAAGAGTACGAGTACTTTTGAAAAAAAAGTTAGTTAATGTAATTGATTATTCTTTACTCTTTAAAATTGGTTTGTCAAAAATGACTAATTGTCATAGCGAAAAAGCAGCCACAATTCTCGTCAATAGCAATTTGTATTTTTAACATTTAGCAGTCAATTTCCATGTAACAATGTTCCCTGAATCCGAAAATGTCGTCAAAAGTTATAATAATATGGAATTGACTATATCTCAAAAACTGCTCCACTTTCATAATTTTTGACGGTATTTTCACTAATTTCCACTAATAACTGTGGAAATTAGTTATTTTTGACTAATTCATTTTTAGAGAGTGTACATTATACATACTTTGGTCCTGGGCTATAAAAATACATATACAAATTTATAAAATTGTTTATTTTAAACATTATGTACATAAAATAATAACAATGCTTAAATAGTTTATAATTTTACCTATTTACTTGTTATAAAACCTATAGGCTATAATATATTATATTATACTATATATTATATAATTTAAAACAGACTTCCAAACAAAATATTTTGATGCTTACGATATTTTGTCAAAATGTCATCCATATAATAAACGAAAATACTCGTATATATCACTCGTGAATTCTACGAGTATATTTTACGAGTACATTGAATTTGGTTTGTAAGTACGAGTAATAAGTATTTCAAATGAAAAATACTTATGAGTAAAAAAGTACTCGTACTTTTTTACTAGTAATTGAAATACGAGTAAAAGTACTCAGTACTTGGCCAGCTCTGGTAAAAACCCAATTTAAAACAAAAATTGAAAAAATGAGTACATTACTCATTAACATAAAATATTGTAATTGAAAATTTCAAAATACTCATTACAAATTAAAAATGAGTATTGTAAAAAAGAATAGGTACTTTATAATAGTAAACTCAATAATATAATATTATACTCATTGGAAAAAATGTAATGAGTAATTAATTTTCATTAAAAAAGAAGTAATGCATAATAAAAATTAAACACATTACTCATTATTTTAATAATTTGTATTTAAACATTAATGCATTCAAAAAATAATACATTATTTGCAACTCTGCTGCAGTATCATTCTGTGAACCAGAATTTTCTCTTCATCAAAATCAATTTACTTACCTTGGCCCTCAACTAATAATTAAGTTGTACAAATAGTACCTAGTTTACAGGTATATATTAAATCCTATTCGTTTGATTAAATTCAACGCATTAAATTCATCAAAATTTAATTCGGTTAAAATCGTCACTTCTGCTGTTTTATAGCAATAATTTCTGGTCGACTAATTTTCACGCGTTTCTGCCCTTAAAAACTCGAACAATTGATTCGAAAATATCGATCAAACTTGTACATATTTTATAGGGAACATCTGGCACGAGTGCCACACAACAACGATTTTCACGATCCCAAAAATACTGAGCGGTCTGATTTTAATAAAATTTTATCTAATTCATTAAGTAATTTGGGACACTTTCTTCAAAACCCAAAATTCTGGGAAAATGATTATCTGAACGTTACAGCATTATTTTCACTTTGGAAATTTTTATGATCTTTCACTTTTGTTTGCTTTTACTTGGAAGCCACACGAACGGCCGTACTTTTACATCCACCATTAAGTTATAAATTATGATTTTTCATTTTAGAAATTTAGCAGAAAATTGCATTATTTTCTTATTTACAGCGTACTATTTATTT